CTGATATATTTAAAGATACAAATAAAACATTATAACGTCATGCCAGAAAATTTTAATAAAAGAAAATTTGAACATTTTGATTTTTTAGAACACTTCCTGTGACGACCGGAAGTGACGGCCGACAATCTTATCCGAACTGAATTTGCCTACTCATCAAGATCTACCAATTGTATAAGTTTAGTGTCTTAATCTTTTTCCGTTTACGAGATCTAGCTATGATAAGTACTCATTTTGAGGACAGAAAATCACGCGACCTGATGTGAATTTTACAAAGATATTTGACGTTAATGTAGTCATTTGCAGTCTGAATAACATATCCAAAAATCATTACAAATACGTTATCTATAAAAAATATTTATGGGAAAGAAAAATACTGAAAATATGCAGTTTTTCTCTTATAACCGGAAGTTGTCGTTTTTGTTTCCGGTGGGACTGACATATTTCGAAAGAACAATTAAAATACTATAACGTGATGCAAAAAAGTTTCATACAAGGAAAAGTTGAAATTTTCGATTTCTTAGATCACTTCCTGTGACGACCGGAAGTGACGGAGGACGGATATAAACAGATTGCACAAATCTACTTATCATGATCTATTATTCCTGAAAGTTTTATGTCTTAATCTGTTATCGTTTCTGAGATATCGTCCGGACATGATCACTTTTGGAAAAACGGAAATCGGACATATTTGACGACGGGAAGTGAATTTTGAAAAACTGAAAACTACATTTGAAAGATATTTTTACTCTCTATCATCCCTGAAAATTTCATAAGAATCTGTCCAGTCATCTCTGAGAAATCGTCAAAAAAAGAAATTACAAAAGGGGAAAAAAAATAATAATAATAATAATAATAAAAAGAAACAGTAGAATCACTATAAGGTCTTCCGTCTGAAACGGAAGACCTTAATAATAATAAGAAACAGAGTAAAAACAATATGTTCCCCAACTTCGTTTGGGGAACATAATTAATATAATGTAATGTTTCATAACAGGTTATTAACACTTTGTGAGGCTTCTTTTTGAAAGAATTCAGGGGTTCAAATTCTACCAGTAATGTCCATCATGTAGATTAAGATAGATCGAGCCAATGAATTAACATGCAAAAATGAACATTCAAAGTTTTTAAATATATTGAACAAGTGTTTTACAATTTGAGCAGCAATTAAGCTTATCTCCTGAATACACAGGACTATCAAATCCAAAGTAATTTATATATAATTACGAGCATGAGTCTTAAACAACCTTGATTTGTACAGTATTTTCGCATATCTTCTGTCACTCCTTTTCTATTTTTTGCAATGTCACTTTGGTTGTAAAACATTGTAGCTGTGGCTGCTTGTCTTAGTTGTCCAGCTCTTCCAATTTCCTGGAGGTATTTTCCCATTGTTGTGGGGGGTCTACTGTGGATGATCTGCTCAACACTAGGTGCATTAACACCCATTCCAAGAGCAACTGTTGCAAAAACCAAACGCAGTTTACAGTGTATTGAATTTGATTCATGTTTTAAGCCAGATGCTATATGGCATTCACAATTTTGAAAGAGGCACCATTGATCATCATAACAATACACTTAACAGTTGCTTAGCTTGGTAACTGAATACCCATACGCAAGGTAGGGGAACAAAAAGGCACTCCAAGTAATCAGTAATATTCAGCAATAATCAGTAGAGCCCCTTACACGGTGACATAAACCCCTTACACTAGGTCCAAACATTGCACAAATTTTTAAAAGGCACCGTTAAAATTGCCTATCAAAAAAATATATAAATGTTTTATAAATACATAGGAGCAGATTTCAAACAATAAATTCATTTTCAGTACATAAGCAGAGCCCCACCCCCACCCCCACCCAACCCCTGAACCTGGGGCCTTAAATACACAATTCTGCAAATTAGGGTTCTTGCTCATCATAACTACAGGTAGTTCATCTACTTCGTACCCAGAGACAGAGAAGAAAATTAAATGAATTTTCACTATATAATCAATAGAACCCCGGCCTAACACCAGAACCCTTGACCCTGGGACCATAAAATTCACAATTTTGGTTGAGGCACTCTTGCTCATCATTACTATGCACTTAGTAAGTTTATTAAATACCTAGGAGCAGAGAAGAAGATTTTCTGAGAATTCGTGTATTTTCACCATATAATCAATATACCCCCCCCCCCAAACACTAGAACCCTTGACCCTGGGGCCATAAAATTCACTATTTCGGTAGAGGCGCTCTTTGTCATCATAACTATGCACTTAGTTTATTTAATACCTAGGAGCAGAGAAGAAGATTTTCAAAGAATTCATGTATTTTCACTGTATATTCAATAGAGCCCCCCCCCTACACCAGCACCCTTGACCCTGGGGTCATAAAATTCTCAATTTTGGTAGAGGCAATCATGCTCATTATAACTATGCACTTAGTTAGTGTATTTAATACCCAGGAGCAGAGAAGAAGATTTTCAAAGAATTCATGTATTTTCACAATATAATCAATAAACCCCCCAACACCAGAACCCTTGACCCTGGGGCCATAAAATGTGGCTGAAATTGGTTCAGTGGTTGAAGCTGAGAAGAAGCTGAAAATGTTCAAATGTTAACACACGACGGACGAAAACGGATAGCAATAGGTCACCTGAGTTAACTTTACTCAGGTGACCTTAAAACTGATTGTTAATGGCTTGATAAGAGAACAGTCACAGACACAGAGTTCATCATCAGGTTCATCACAGGCCTCAACTTCAGGTTCATTATCAGCTTCCTCAACAACTTCATGTTCCTCAACAACTTCAGGTTCCTCAACAACATCATCAGCTTCAGGATCATCCTTTTCATCATCCCAAACTCCAGGGCCTGCATCATCTGAAGGAATTCATTTATGGACAAGTCAAGAAGAAGACATGTTAGTGCACCTTAGACATGTAAAGAATGATGAATTTCTTAAAACAAGAAACCATCAATCCCTGTGGGGTGAAATTACCAAAGAGCTAAACTCTTCGTTGAAATGTAGCATAACCGCTATTCAGGTAATGAATAAGTATCACAATTTGAAAAAACGCTGGAAGGAAGTTATCGATTCATCTGGAATTAGCATACTTATTTTTATATTCATATGAAGCAGAATTTATGCAAAATCTTTTACGTGAAAAGAAGAAAATACTTGCTGTGGCCTTCAACTCGACATTTAGATATATCGACGACGTATTGTCAATTAATAATGATAATTTCCATTCCTACGTCGACACAATATATCCTGGTGAGCTTGAGATAAAAGATACCATGGAGTCCGACACTTCTGCTTCATACTTGGATATTTTACTTGAAAAAGACACTAATGGTAATCTTAACAACCAAGCTATATGATAAAGGTGATGACTTTAACTTTTCTATCGTCAACTTCCCTTACTTATGCAGCAATATACCTTCATCACCTGCATACGGAGTATTTATATCTCAGTTGATTCGATACGTAAGAGCATGCTCCACGTATGAACAATTTCTTAAACGAGGTAAATTAATGACAAGCAAGTTGATGAAACAAGAATATCAACAGTCTCGTTTAAAGTCATCATTTCGTAAATTCTATGGTCGATACAATGACCTTGTCAGCAAATACAATTTATCATTGAATGAAATGCTGACTGACGCTTTTCATACCAATTGTTAGTCCATTATTTATACACTGAATTGACCACGGATTTTTTCCGTTATTTCCTGATTATGACAACGAGCACACGGCGGGTGTGACCGGTCGGCAGGGGATGCTCACTCCTCCATGGCACCTGATCCCACCTCTGATTTTTCGGAGGTCCTTGTTTGCTCTGCTCTTATTTTGTATATTTGTTGAATGGACGTTGAGATTGAATACTGTTCGTTATTTCCATATCCTTCCTGGAACCAGTGGATCAGAAGCAAAGTATTTTCGACAAAAAGGAGCATTTGATCAAGTATACGGAACAAAAGTTAGTTCGAAACCAGTATGCGTCATGGATACTTTCGAGAAAAAAGAAAAAAACAAACACAGAGCGAAAGGAATCCACAAATCCTGACCAGAAAAATATTAAAAGTAAGAAAAGATCTAGAAGGGGTACATGTACTGACATTGTGGAAACATTAGAAAAACAAAACGTAGAATTTTCAAATAAATTAGAGCATCTACATAAAGAAAAAATGGCCAGACTGGATCGTCTCTTGGACTTGTATGAACAAGAAGCGAACAATTATAATAAATAGTAACTCCATTAAAATTCTTGTATTTGTTTACATGCATTCCAGATAGAATGATCTTTTTAGCTCACCTGAGGCGATTGCTAAAGTGACTTTTTCTGATCACATTTTGTCCGGTGTCCATCTGTCAGTCTAGTTGTCTGTCTGTCTGTAAACTTTTCATGTTTTAGACTTCTCCTTACCAGAACCATTGCTCTAATTTCAACCAAACTTGCCACAAAGGAGAAGGGGATTCAAGTTCATTCAAATGAAGGACCATGCCCTCTTTCAAGGGAATATATTTAGGAATTTCAGGAAACATCCTCAGGTAATGCAGATTCAAGTTTCTCCAAATTATGCCCCCTGTGGTAGGATTGAGCCACAGGCAGTGTAAAATTAAATTGGTTCAAAGAGGGTCACTGTGGGTAGAGGCTAAGGGCTGGGGCCCAATTGGGGTCAAATTTTGACAAATGAATAATTAAGAAAAATATGCTCATGCATGAACAGAATCATCAAGTAGTTTAATATAATCCCCCTCTATATGTAAATTTTCAACACTGAACTGATTTTTATTCAGCCAATGAGCGATGTGGGCTTTGGGCCTCTTATTTATGAAGTTTTAGTTTGATTTGCTCTGAAATAAAATGTTAATGAATAACATGATTCCTTTATTTGTAAATAAATATCTGAAGAACAAAGATTATATTTTGTCTGAATCTCTGATATGTCATCAGGAATGGGGTGATTGAAAAAAGTATTTGATTGAAAATATCAATGTAAGTGAATTTGCATTGAATGGACAAAATTATCAATGTATTTGAAAGTATATCAAAGTAATTTAACCGAATCCTGCTTGTCATGGTATATTTACAAGCTGCAAACGTCTGAGAATGCCAGTATTTCCATTCTGGTACACATTTTGAAAATGATTTGGATCAACATCGTCTTCTTCAATGTATCCTTCCACTTCATCTTCATTCATAACACATATGTTATGTAGAACGCAGCAAGCAAATATAAGTTGGCAAATATCGCCATGATTATGAAAAGGCACATCTCTAAGTCTTCTGAATCGACCTTTCAGGTGTCTAAAAGCCCTCTCCACTGTCTGACCTATGCCTGAGAGCCTTTTGTTGAATTTCACTTGTCTTGTCAGAAGGATATGGAAATAACGAACAGTATTCAATCTCAACGTCCATTAAACAAATATACAAAATAAGAGCAGAGCAAACACGGACCTCCGAAACATCAGAGGTGGGATCAGGTGCCATGGAGGAGTGAGCATCCCCTGCCGACCGGTCACACCCGCCGTGTGCTCGTTGTCATAATCAGGAAATAACGGAAAAAATCCGTAGTCAATTCAGTGTATGAATAATGGACTAACAATTCGTATGAAAAACGTCAGTCAGCATTTCATTAAATGATAAATTGTATTTGCTGACAAGGTTATTGTATCGACCATAGAATTTACGAAAAGATGGCTTTAAACGAGACTGTTGATATTCTTGTTTCATCAACGTGCTTGTCAATAATTAACCTCGTTTTAGAAATTGTTCTTGTGTAGAGCACGCTCTTGCATATCGAATCAACTGAGATATATACAATCCGTATGCAGGTGCTGCATAAGTAAGGGAAGTTGACGATAGAAAAGTTAAAGTCATCACGTTTATCATATAGCTTGGTTGTTAGATTACCATTAATGTCTTTTTCAAGTAAAATATCCAAGTATGAAGTAAAAGTGTCGGACTTACCAAAGTTCTTGAAAGGAGTGATGAGCCAGTTACGCAGTGGATAAGCATTATCTCCAAAGATGTGATGATTTGGGGAAAATAACTCTCCGGCTTCAGCTTTGGTAAACAAGCTTGAGTTTCGCAAAACTCTTGCATCATGCACACAACCTGGCCAACCAGTGTATGCATTAAGGATTTTCATCCTGTTGTCCAATACTATCTGTAAGTGAAAAAGACATACCTGTAATTGCATAGAGGGGTGTCCTTTCCTGTTGTAATAGTCCTGCTCTCCCCCAAAGCAGCTGAATGTCTGATGTGTGATCCATCTATAAAACCTATCACTCCTGGCAAAGAGCATATTTCTTCATTTTCTGTGGCTATTTCTATTTGATGCTGTGGTGAAGGCCAGCGAATTATCTGAAATTTATTAAATAAAGAATGAGATATTTTTCATAGGATGTTAGACATAGAAAAGAAAAGATTAACATGAGAAATCAACATGCATGATCATGTTGTGAAATTGATATTTTAAATTTACTAGGGCTTAAGGGGTCAGAGTGAGTTAATTAAAGAACACATCACCATGATAACTGATAAAATTTAAGAATGCCTCACCCGATTACAAAGTTGTGCCAGGACATTGCATACATCTTTCATTATTTGGTGGACAGTTGACTTTGAAAGACAAAATATATGTGCAGTCTCTTGCATTGACTGGGTCGTTGCCAAACAACTAAGGCACACTAAGAGCTGCTTCTCTGGGGGGCGGTCTGGTGGGGACCAATTCCAGTACTGGTTAGTGAATCGTTAATATTCTCCAAAACAATGTGAAACACGTCTCTGCTCAAACGAAAATTAGTTTAAAAATCGTCAATGTGCTCTGGAATATCCATTTGAAAACTATTTCGGTCACATAATTTTCAATTTCTGGTACATATTCTCGTCTGTAAAAGGGAAAAAATGAATAAATAAACGAATTATGTACATTACAAATGTTTGTATATAGACCCGTTTACTAGGATATGTTTGTATAGAAAAGAAAAAAGTAAAAAAAAAAAACACCATGAATTTATTAATTTTTTTTATATTTATGTAACCGGTTCTTGGTTTGATAAAACAACAAGATGGTTCTCTCGGGTGTGGATCCAATTTATTTTGGTATAGGTTCATATCAGATAAGATCAGATAAGATTCAACCCTACAATAACAGTAACATGTAAGCACATACACACACAAAGCAATACAAAGACAATACATACAGATAATCACAACTTGAACACAATCATTTTTAGTTCACTTACATTTATACCGTTTAAAATTATTAGGTCACACTTCACTCAGTTTAGTTATCTTTTTAAACCATTAAACTTTACTTCTAATTCATAGAAATAACTTATAAACAATATTTACATTAATCAATCTGATCAATACACAAACACATACCCATTTATGGAATAAGGTGAATTCCTAACTCCTAGCTAAACCAATCTGACTTCACTTCAAATATATCTGACCTAATTAACAATACGTAAAATTATAACAAACTCTCAAATCCTTTATTTAGGATGCAAGAATAGATTAAAATAGTTAACTTGCTTTTTATAGATCTTTACCAATCTTTATATACATTCCTTACACACACTCACACTTTATTTAGCAAGTTTAGATTAAAATGAATTAAAATGAATTATTTAGATTTCTCATTCATTAAGAAATTATTTAGATACTTATTTAGTAGTTTAATTATTTATTAAATTACTCACAGGAATAAGGGTGGTGTCTCCAACACTTAAACATAGGTAATTTCACTATACACAGGTACACCCTTCAGAAACCAGTTCTCATAATAAGGGAAATCATTATAGTAATTCCCGCCAATTCTACCTTAGAACCAATCAACCACACTGACCAATAGAAATCAATGTCCCACTACATAATGGAATAACCCATTCACAACATTACCTGGTAGTCTACCTGGAATACAACAC